TTACATTAGGAGACTTGTCAATTGTCATTGTGTTTTATTCAGAGCGCGGAAATATAAATTTCGGAAAACAAAGTTTACAACATCAAAAATACACACATTCATAGTATAAACTCAAAGTCAATACAGTTGTATGTATGTTCGGAACTACATGCTAGAATGTCGGAATTACCTACTTACATATGTAGACTATGAGACTGATACGATTACAAGTTTGGATTTACAAACTTACAAGTTTGGATTTACAAACTTACAAGTCTGGATTTTTGAACACGATTACCCTCCATAATTAACAACGGTTTTTGGGAATGTTTTATTGTGGAAGTAGTAAAAGAATATGTTAGGAACACACGGTTAGTAAAATGTTGAAATGGAAGCTTAAATATACGGAGATGTAAATCGAGAAAACCGCGCACTATTTTGTTCGCAATAAATATACACTTTTTTCAATGGGTGGCACTGTAGCTCTGTGGTTCGTGCATCCCAATTTTTATCAGACCAGCGAGCTACAGATCTGCAGCTACATCTTTGGGTAAAAGGGAACAAAAATTGTGAATTTCTTGGTCCCTGTTCCCCTAGGGCCTCAGGGGTTGGGCTAAAACCTCCAAAATTGATGCAGTCTTTATAAATATCTTCTTTACTGCTGGACATCAAGCAGTCAAACTGTTGGCATGATTGTAATGAGCATTGGGCCCGCTACCAAAATTGTGAAATTGATGGCTCCAGGGGCTAGGGCGGGGCTATATAGATAACATAGTGAAAGTGCATTATTTCTTTGAATATCTTTTTCTCTTCTCCTGGGTCAGGGGTTTTGGTGTTAGGGCGAGCTCTATTGATTATATAGTGAAAATGCATTCATTCTTTCAAAATCTTCTTTTCTGCTGCTGGGTACTATTAAACTAAATAAATGCATGGTTATGATGCACAAGGATGGTTTTTTTTTCTTCAAAATTTTGAACTTCATGGCCCAAGTGTCAGGGGTTCTGGTGTTAGGGCGAGGCTTATTGATTAAGGGTGGGGCTTTATTGGTAATATATTGAAAATGCATTAATTCTGTTAAATAATCCTGTCTGCTCCTTAGTGATGAGCAGATAAACACAATGCATAGTCATGATGAACAATCAATTGTGCTTCTTACAAATTTTTTAAAACTTATGGTCCCCAGGTTTTTGTGCTTCTCGGGGGAAGGGGGGGGGGTATTATGTGTTAATTCTTTGACATATGTTAATTCTTTGTGAATCTTCAACTATTAAAGTGCGTAGTTATGATAAAAAGCGTACCTCTACCAAATTTATGAATGTCATGACATGGGACATGGGTGTTAGGGTAAGGGTGTGTTGAATCTGTAGTGAAAATGCGTTATTTCTTCGAAAATCTTCTCTGCTCCATGGCATATCGAAGGCAAACAGAATTAAAGTTTTAAGTAAGCAAGGGTATTTTTACCAGATTTTTTAACATCAGGGCCATTTGGTCAAGTGTTCTGGTCGTCGCCAGGGCTCTATTAATTTGTATTCAACTGAGAGAAGTTATTCCCCTTTTGCCATTCATTTTTGATAATTAATCATTGTAAATAATGTATTTGAAAGTTAATGTAATAAGAGGCCAGTGTGAGAGGTCACAATATGGGTTTAAACGTAGTACAGAAGATCTAAAAGTTTGAATATTTCATATGAAGTTTTTTGAAGTTTCATATGGAGACGCCACCACTGGCCGGTTGAGAGCTACAAATTTTGACCTATACTCGGCACTCGGGGCCATTGAGAAGTGAGGGAATCTTTCGTGCCAGCACCTGCGACAAGGGACCTCGGTTTATACGGTCTCATCCGAAGGACCGGTCTCCACGTCCCACAGTTAATTTACAAGTTGTTACTGAATACTAGACTAATTATTTCATTGATTCTGATCATCCTATTTCTCTTAATTTTGGGCAACAAAGCTTCATCTATCAGTTTATTTTATACTCTATGGATCCCCAAAATTGTTGTATTATACTCATGTGACCGTTAAGGCCCTTGGGCCTATTGTTTCATTACTCAACATATCTCGAAAGATTTATTCATTTTATTTCAAATTAAATAAATCGGTGTTTACACAGCGTGTATAGCTTTACTTGTAAAATGGCAATGAATTGTCATTGCATGTCATGTCAAAGATTGCAACAAATTTCCATTTGAATTCTGCAATTTTCCATTTTTTTTATTATATATTTCACAATTTTATATTGGATTTCTTTTAATTTGAATTTTGTAATTTGAATTGTAGAAGTCTTAATTCTTTTCTATAATTCTTTGTCTTGTATTTTTCCATTTGAACTGTAAACTTTTTAAAGGAGATCGACCCGCATAATCCGATAAAACAAATAAAATATATATTGAACGTCTAATGATTTTCACTTTCAATTTCTTGTCCACATAAAAAATCATGCTGAGGTCTTCAGTTGCAGGGAATGCTAACCTCGCAGAAAAGTCTATGAACCTTACCGCAACCCCTCGTTTTGTGTCCCTCCTTATCATTATAAAGAGACATTTGGTACATGGAATAATATTCGCTTTAACAGGTTGGGCACACCTCCCCCCCCCCCCCCCAATTGGTGGTTCGAGTCCCATTTGGTGGGCAAACGCCTAAATGGTATACAAATAATACTAACGATATGATGGTCTTTTATATTCGCGCTTAAACTAAAAAGAAAATACATGAAAGCACATTTGCACGAGAAACAGGATTGTTTGTTGGCATCTCCTACAACTATACAAGACAACTCACCAGACATCCCATGTGTGAATCTCGACTGAGGTGGATCAGCGCACGTCTCCCAAGTAAGTCTACTATTGTTCCTCCATGTTCTTAGGCAATTATAAGAGTATTTTTATCGATAATTATTATAAATTTCGACGTGGGAAGCTTCTTACACCTTCTTTTTTCCCAAATCAAAGCGTTCTTTTGATCAGGATCACGAACAACCAATGAAAAGTACCGTTATAATTAACTGCATCCTCTGAAAGTTTGTATGGTGGTCAAAAAGTGTATAAAACATTCAAAACAGATTTCGGATTTATATTTTAAAGTAAAAATGAATTTCTTTATTTATTTGATATAGAGATGCCTTTCAGTTAAATATGTGGATGCAAAAATCACCATGTATTTTGCGGAGAAGAAGAGTTTAAAATCTTGAAAATTGATGGGGAAAAATAAAAGTTTCAGTTGTGGAGAAGTTAAGGTAGGAGGGGCACATTACCGCCCGCACAGATAACTTGTGCGAAGGATGCGTTAAATATGCTATCTCTGTCCCCTCTCATTCTTTCTCTCACTCTTTCTAATTGAACTTCTCTCTCTCTCTCTCTCTGAATGAATAGATTAAAAAAAAAAAAAACTATGATTTCATGAAAATTCAAGATCGTTATATATTTTGTCTCCGTATGTTTCATATTTCTTGTTTTATAATTTTTAATAAGACGCACTAAGTTAAAAAAAGGAAAAAGAGTAATATGGTTGCTGAGCTTGTAGAGAAGATTGAGAACGGAGAGATTGAGGATGAAGAACTTGCGTCAATCATGACTGCGATTGGTACCAAATTTAAAATAATACTATTATTTTAAATTAGTGGCTAAGCATTAATAATTATATTGTGTTGTAATTGTAGTTTTTGGAGATTTTTTTGATAAAATTTTAATATATTTTGAATGTAACACAGGAAAGAACCAAACTAGAAAAATATTAGATGACAGTGTGGTTGCAGGGAAAATTTATAAAGATGATGAAAAATTCAGAACATTTGATGCAGCAAGTAAGTTGATAAATAAAAATATGACTGTCACAATGATTTACTAGTATTTAAAAATTATTGAACATTTTTATGAAAATGTTATAAAAAAATAAATGATTATAATTTTGTATGTTTCATCTGAAGGCTATTTCTTGGAAAGAAACACCGTCATCCTAGGGTTCTTTAAAGGATTGATGGGCGACCAATTCAGTGAAGAATCCTATGCCACTGGCATATGCGCTGCTGTGGAAAGCATGTATTATTTGAAAAACAGAAACTTTGTAGGCCCCCTGGCATTTGCTAAATCCCTTTTACTATAAACGAAAACGGGTGCGTTAATTTCCAATAAAATTTTTAAAATTCCAATTTTGCATAAATATATTGTATTTGAATATCAAAATATAATATGATTTTTATACTGACATCCTTTAAATTCCTGTTATTTCCTTGCATACTAATCGTTTACTTTAAATATCCATAGGAATCAAAGAAGGGTTGAATGTTGTTTCAGCTGCTAGTCCAGCTGGCAGCTACACAACAATTCTTAAGTGCTTAAGAAACCACAGCCAAGAGAGAATTAGATGTCCTGATACAAATGACATCATATCGTTTTTCGACAACAGTCAGGTTAATAAAGTTTTTGGAAATATATTTTTTATTTGTAAATTTTTTTACATGTGTGACCGTGTTTTAATATTTTTTCCTTCCATTTTAAATGTCATCGGTCGCAAATGGAGAGTTAAGACCGACTTTAAGTCGGAGTGTTCCGTGATCACCTCTGTGGTCCATATGGTGACAGATGACAACCTCCAGGCCAGCGCAGACTACTTCCCTTCCTCTTGGCAAAAATTTGATACAGAGGCAAAACAATCTATTATTTGCCAAATGAAAGGAAAAGAATCTTTCTTTGAACAAGAATTTATTAAAATTAGGTATTTAAGCCTTATTAAAAATGAAATTTTTCGCTATGATTATTAGATATAAAATATTTGTTATTATGTTACTCGGTATACTTTATTTATCAGAAATGATTTCATCATAAACCAAATTCAAAAGGTTATGAATCAACAACATAATGAAAATGGCCAATATGTTGACCACATTGACAAAAAGAATGCCAACCTTACGAGAAACTCCAGCACCATCAGAGAGGTACGCCTCTTTCTCAAATGATACGTGGGATATCAAGTCATTTACAAACTCCACTTGATTTTACTTGTGTTAAACTGTTTATTTGTACAGTTACTTGTGTTTTCCTGTTATAAATACAGAGAAAACAGGCTATTATGAATTACTCATGGGGGAAACAGTATTTGAGAATCCATGTTCTTACGACGCCGTAGAAAAAGTAATGTATTTAATGATACAAGTACATACATGCAAAAACTTGACCAATAAACTTGATAAAAATCATATTTTGTGACATTCACAGGTTTTGGACCATTTTCTAGAGGAAGTGGGTGTGGGGACAACACGACATTGGGCAGCTGTCGGCTGTGACGGTTTGCCATACGTATTGGTATCCAGAATCATTGAGGATGTATTTGTATGCCCCGTTTGTCATAGGCAGTATGACGGCTGTGCGGAATTCAATTCCCATATATCCCACACTGGGCATGTAGATGACGCCGAGGATGGAAGAAAATACAAAAACATCCTCATGCTTACAGTTAGATAGCAAATAAAATATACTAATACATGAAATATTGATTTAGTTTATATTTTGATTAAAATATTGAGAAAATTATTGCAGGTCATAGACATTTTGAGATAAACATGACTAAAGCCATGTTTAAACTCCTGTGGGAGTTAGCCCTAGTTGACCTCGACAAAATGCTTGGTTTTAGAAGCTTAAAAGCGCTTGCTGCATCCCAGAGTGCAAGTGGTATAAATCTTTAGTAATATTTCAATAAAAAATCATGAACGCGTCAATTCATACCCACCCTTATAATCATATACATTTGTATTAATGATTCGATTTGTTTCAATATTTCAGATCATCATAAAAGTTGGCAGATCTTGGAAATATTTTTTTATGCCATGTCTGCAGAACTAATATTGCCTTATGCCAGACGCGTCCTCGCAGATAACCTGGAGCCTTCTGTCCGAGGTTTTCTGGAACATCTTCGAACCCCAAACCAGAAATTAATGTACTACATTCTTTTCAATTTCAGCTTAGCTCTCCATATTTTCAGAGCAGGCGTAAGATGGAACAACAGTGAGGTAATTCTTGCCAGAAGGTCTAAATCTTCACCGTTGTTCTTTGGTCTTAATATGCCATTTTACATGGAGGCATATTCAAGGGATTTAATGATTCGTATGCAGTGTCCCTCTGTGGTTAACGAGTTCATTGCAAATCATGAGTCCTACAGTGTCAGTGGCAACGAAAGTAAGGGTGGAGGGGGAGATTTTGTACTAGAGAATCTTAACAGAAAGAGCAAAAGCTTTATGTCCCCAGGACTGCAATCGGAAGAAAGATGGAAAATCATGTACAGAAATAAGGATAGATTGGACAAGGTAAAAAGTTTAAGCACTTAGTGTTTAAGAAATACTATGTTTTATGTTGTTTAATTATAAATACATCAATGCTGAATGATTTTGTTTTTCAGATTAAAGCAAACTTGCAGATGCAGTTGTCAATAGCAGAAAAAGACACAGATTACATGTACACATCAGACATCACAGACGAAATAACATCATTTAGAACATTAATACGACAAAAGCAATATCTACAACAGAACACTCTTACAACTCTCTCAAACAAGCCTACAGACAGCAAATTACTTCAGTTTTCAGAACACGCACAACAAAACAAAGATTTACATTACTCACATATTACAACCCACAAACTTTCATTAAGGAAACTTACACCCATTTTTATTCTACAGGAGCACAGACAAAAACATTTTGACATAGCAAACAAAACAAAAACAGACATAATTTCACAACACAGTTTCATAATTTTAAATACAGTTAAATGTAATGAACTCTAAAACGCTTTTTGAAAAATGGAAAAAAAAAATAAGAATATGGAGAAAAGTGTTCTCTTGGAATTTGTCAGAGAAATTGAAGAGCTGAAAGAGGGTCAGAGCGATTCTGTTGGAGAATAGTTTAAGGTAAAGATTCGTGGACACTATAGATAATTTTACTTTTTACGAACTAAATATTGGGGACAAAAAAATTTCCAGATTTTTCAGCGCATTCTTCCTATATGCAGTTACTCCCACGCACCATGCATGCCGCCAAAATGAACATTCTTTCTCCATACAATCTACCCACAATGTATCAGATAATCCCTCCCCACATAACCTACAACTGCTGTCAATATTTCCCTGAAATACAGTTTCTGTGGTTTAGACAGCCTGTTCTTGTACGCGCACTGAGGGATAGGACGATGATGACGACGCCGACGATGAGGATGACGCCGACGATGATGAAGGCGACACCGTCAAAGATGACGACGAAGAGGCACATTTGGGTCCGTCCACAGACAAAGAGCTCTTTTTAAGTTCCTAAATCCAACATAGTGTTTTACTTCATTTTTTTTTTAATTACTTTCATACCAAAAAGATACAATTTTTTTAATTCTACAATGCAATAAATTATTTTCTATCTACATTCAGTGTACTGTTTGACATACACCTCAGCTGAAGTTGCAGTATAAGGATCTTGTACCTGTGGAATTTTAATATGCTTTTAAATATTCATTTTAAAACATTGTATTGCATACTGATGATATCTTATTGTTAATTAGAAAAATTATCTATGTGTTTAATATTATAATTACAAATGGGCAAAACTACTAGCATTCTTTTTTTCTAATATTGAATAGTGTTTTTTTGTGTCGGTAGCATCACTTTTGAAAGAGGAAAGTGGGCAGACCACAGGCGCCAGAAGTGTGGATCGATATCCCCCCCCCCCACTTCAAATTAAACAAGATGTGTTTGTGAAACACTGATGCCCCCGTATGGCATCTTATGGCGAAGGTTAAGGTTTCTCAAATGCAAGTCAAAATCCAGGTCAAAAGATAGAAAATGTTAAATTTGAAAGCCCTAGCTGAAACTGTTCAAAAGTGATGGCCAAGGTTAAAGTTTTTTAAAAGTAAGAAAAACATCAAGGTCAAGGTCAAAGTTGTTGGTATCCAAAGGAAGGTCATGTCACAAGGATTTACATATGTGAAGTATGAAAGCCCTAGCTCTAACCGTTCAAAAGTTATGGCCAAGGTTAAAGTTTTTCAAAAGTAGGTCAAACTCCAAGGTCAAGGTCAAAGTTGTTGGTATCCAAAGAAAGGTCTTGTTACAAGGATGACTTATGTGAAGTATAAAAGCCCTAGCTCCAAGCGTTCAAAAGTTACGGCCAAGGTTAAAGTTTTTCAAAAGTAGGTCAAACTGTAAGGTCAAGGTCAAAGTTGTTGGTATTCAAAGGAAGGCCTTGTCACAAAGAATACACATGTGAAGTTTGAAACCCCAACCACCAACTGTTCAGAAGTTATGGCCAAGGTTAAAGTCTCATAAAGTTTTGCAAAAGTGGGTCAAACTCCAAGGTCAAGGTCAAACATGATGGCACCCAAAGAAAGGTCTTGTCACAAGGAATACACATGTGAAATATGAAAGTCATAGCTCCAGCCAATCAAAAGTTATGGGCAAGGTTGACAACAGACAGACAGACAAACAGATAAACAGACAAACCGATAAACAGACAGACAGGACAAAAACAATATACCCCCGGGACCTTTCGATCCGGGGACATAAAAAAAAATATAAGACCTTATAATTTCTCAAAAATATAAAAATTTTCCCGTCATTTACATTCATATGTTGTTCTATGTAAGCAGATTGTAGTTTTTTTACGTTTAGAGAATGGCCCTGTACGGTATAATAAAAATAAAATATGTATTTTTATTATACTGTACAAGATCATTCTCTAAACGTAAGAAAAAGTACAATCTGCTTGCAAAGAACGACATATGGACCTGATTGACGGAGAATTTTTTTTATATTTTTGAGAAATTATAAGTTCTTACAATTTTTTAAAAATAAAATGGTGGGTATCGATCCACACTTCAGGCGCCTGTGGGCAGACTTTCCCAAACCGACATGCAAAACAAATTAAAAAAAATAAAATAAAGAGAGAGGGTCTGATAAACCATAACTTTTCCAGAAGAGTATCTTTTCGTTTGCTGAATGACCGATTATTTTTTTTTGTCTGTTAAAACTTTGTAGGCTCTTTCTTCTTCTTTGTACTTTTAAGGATGGACACCTTGCCTGTTTTTTGCTAACAAAAAATTAATAAACATATCATTACAACACATGAAACGATAATTTTCAGTGATGTTATAAGAATTATAGAAAAATTACAATAATAACCTTCCATAGAAAAAAATTAAGCTTTTGACGTATATCATTTTAGATCAAGAGATTTCATTGGTTATAATTTTTTTTACGTCAACAGGATGCTTTAAATTGAAAGTAGCCATGTCGAAGAAAACGCTCAAGCTCAGAGCAGGCTCTGAAAACGGATTTTAAGGTGATATGATGCAAATTAAGTGCTTTAAACAAGGTATTGTTGTAATATATGCTTATTTATAACAACTAAGCGCACAAATTTCCACATAGGATTTCCAGAAAACTCAAAATATCAATAGAACGAATATTGAACTACTCACCACACCACTCGCCATCATGCGCCTTTCTCTTTTCTTAGCGTGAAGCAAAACACACTATTTTTTACTCCCGAATGGCTAGTATATTGTGTGTACGATTTGGTTCATTGCCCACCAAATGGGACTCGAACCACCAATGGGGGGGGGGGGGTAACCTGTTTAACTTTATCATTCAAGACAATGATAAATACTTGCATATGACAGGGGTAGAAATAATTATTGTTTTTTTACTGATCACTCGGGCTTTCACCTGAACTTTTTACTTCTCAACTAGAAGTTTTACTGTCCAACTGGGCCATATTACATTATAACATATTACATTACGATACTGAGTGCAAAATACTCTCAAACGTGTCGGTAGGTTGAACTTCTCGTGAAATATTTTGTATGTAAGTAATACTGACTTTTCCCAAGCACATTTCGGATAGAGAAAGATACAATGAGTTTATTTATATAACAATAAGTTTACATTAATTGAGTTAATCGGCTGCGCCAAGGCGATTTATATGTAAAATCAAAAAAATTGTGAATTACTTTCACGTGGTCAAAGTTTTATAAAAAAAAAAAAACTGCAAGAATAAAGCCGAAACAACCCTCTATAAGAATAAAATATTGTATTTCTTAGATATTTTATTTGCAGAATTTGAGGTACAAATAGTGTACGGTATACATAATCATTGCTTTCTCCCTTTGATATTTTGCATTAGAGGCAGAGAAATGATTTTGTTTGTTTGACAGGGGATGCATACTTCTTCATGGCAACTGATCTCAACGCTGTTTTCAGAGGCCTGTTAATAATTTGTATAGGTTAAATAGACTTTTTGTAAATGGTCCATTGTTCGTAGTCTTTGCACTCTATTTTAGTGTGTCCTTATCCTTATAATTATATGACCGATCAATTTTGCGTCACATGTTGATTAACCCAGTTTCTAGAAGATTATAGCCTTTAGCCGGTCATTAAGTTGTTTTCAATAGAACCTCGCAGAAAGGAGGTTTTCGAGTCTTTTTAAAATCAATTTCAAAACGAAACTGATATTAAAATATTCTACATTAATTTTTCTAAAAAGTCTAAACAATAGTTTGTTTCTTCAAACATCTAGAAAGTAAACTTATGGTTGTGTCGTTAGACGGCCTTTATTTTATCACGCCTTAACAACGACAGCCAACATTTGGTATACACGCCTCTCCTTTGGTACAGCACTCGACCTTTCCTGGCAGATACTCGCACTTAGTGGTTCCAATCTTGCAACCAGTGAAATATACGGAGTGGTTAGAAGAGGTGGACTGAAACCAAAAGAAATATGAATATCGCAGACTTAACAAAGTAATAACTATTTTGACAATCGAAAATAATAACTTAACTCCTTATTAGATTCTTTAGAGATAGGTATTCTGGTATATAAAGTCATTCAAATATATTTATGCCTTGATCGATAGTTTTTCCTTAAATTTTACCATTATAGTAACAAATAATAAAATTTTACCCCGTTCTTTAGGAGCGGATCTATAACTTTCTTCCACTCTTCTAGACTCCATGATGCATCAGCTTGCACTATTACATCATTTACCGTAAACATGGGGGTTCCGGATATCCCACCTTAAGAAAGATACCTATGATGTACAATATATCCTAGAGGTTTTTAATAAAATGTTTACCGTTACGTTATATCTGGGACACTAAACCGAACATAATATTTTTCATGAAAATCTGAAAAGGAATTATTTTTTTTGTCTGTTAAAACTGATGGTTTTTATGATTGACCTATTTGACTCGAAAGCTAGAGCTTGTTTTCGTAAGAGTGTAATGAATAATCTTTTTCATACTGGAGTTAATCAGTTAAAATTTGCATTAAGGATCATTTTAAATTCCAAAATTCAAGTTTAAAACAAGTCAGCTTATATGTATGTTTTATCTATAGACAAAATAATCCCTAATGCATTAATTACACTTATCAAGAAAGTTACAATTTTATACTCCTAAAGATTTTAAGATTCCAAACCTTTAACAGAAAAGAGTTACATTTTCCTCGTGTTTTACATCGCAGTTTTTTTTTATCTTTGGAATTGTATTATTTTATGAAAACAGCCTTGCAAATGAGTAGATTACGTAGAATTTCCTGAACTGGCAATAAATTTTGCTGTTCTTTAGATTAGTAGAAAGCTTCACGGTAAGAAGACTATCTTTATTATAATGTTTAATTTATCATAAATCTGTATGGATATGGTACATGTAACTTACGAGTGCATGTGTATTTCCATTCCACTCGTGTGTCCTCATCGACCATAGGGTCTGCCATCTTTTGGATAAAGGTCGATTTCTGTACCCCTAGCTCCACTGCTATATCACTAAGCATACTACATGAAAAACGTGTATGAACATTAGCAAGAGTCAGCAGCTAGGTTCACTTTATACAAAGATATTGAATGAATGTCTCATTTCCTAGACCTGTCTAAAGACAGGTGTTTTAGACAACCTTCAGAAAATAATTTAAATCTGCAAACCCTTTCATCCAAAATTTAAACATTTTTACTATTACCCGAGAACAATCTATTATCATATAATTGTACATTCATAATCAGAGGACCGACTTTTTGAAAAAATATTGAAATTTTTTTTGCACTTTTTGCTATTTTTTTTTATGAAATTGTCAAGATTTGGAAATAAAAACGCAGTTCATGATGTCATAATACATGGAATAGTGAAAAAGGTCCAAATGATAATTAACGATAATTAACACATTGTTAACTAAAACTGGGCTGTTTTGTTTTTCTTAGAAATTCAAAGGGTCCTTTGTGAAACTTGCTCTTTCTTTTTCCAACAAACAAATTTTAACGATGAAACCCAATGTCTCAAAAATGTTGCATTCTCAATGAAGTACATGTACCTAACCATAAGTGTTTAAATAACTTACTTGACGGCGACATATGTTCCTGACGCATGCATATTCTCACCTGATCACCATGGTTTCGGACATTGCTTTGGTGGCGTTGTTAGATAAGCTGTCTATTTTATTATATATATTGCCCGTCCAGTTGAAAACACCTTGTTGTGAGTCAGATAGCTGGTTAATAATCTGGGCACCCTAGTACAAAAACCAGACAATGAGATAGAAATATAACGAACACTATTCAAGTTAAATGTCCACTTAAACAATACAAATCGGGAGCTGAGCCGACACGGACCTCTAAAAACATCAGAGGTGGGATCAGGTGCCATGGAAGAGTGAGAATTCCCTGCCGACCGGTCACACCTGCCGTGTGGTCTTTGTGATGATCGGTAAATGAGGGAAAAATCCGTCGACAATTCAACGAGCAAAATATGGCCCAACAACTAAAAGAATACAAATCGGGAAAGAAATCTAGGAAGAGGCAATGCTATAAAAAAAACCTTTACAAATGTGTAAACTTGAGCCTTCGTTACGTTGATATTCAAGATAAGGAATTTATGTATAGTTCAATTGCACTCCTGTAATTTTTATGCCACCACCATTAAATGGCCGGGGGCATATATTGTTACCCGGCTCCGTTATCCCGTCTTCATTGACTTTCCGTTCATTATCTCTGCAACAGGTGAACATATTCAATTTGCACCGAGCAGGTCAAGCTCGGATTTGGTCAGAGTCCGTAGATTTTTGACAGAGTTATCCTTCTTAAACTTAGTAAAAATAAGAAGTGTTCAGTTTCCGCTCTCTAACTTTTAGAGGGATATATGTAAAAGATTGATTGCATATGCAGGTATTTTACCAAAAAATTCAGGTCAAGTTCAAATTTGGTCGTGGTCCGATGATTTTTGACAGAGTTATCCCTCTTGAAAGTAGGAAGTAATAAGAATTTTCAGTTTCCTCTCCTACTTTTGTAGAAAGGTATTTATAAAATTGAAATTTTCCCTCTCTACCTTTTGCAGACCGTCACGGTAGCTCAATCAGCGGAAAGCTCTTACAATCAATCTTGTAGGAATATATGTATAAGGTTGAAATTGCATGCGCAGGTATTTTACCAGAAAATACAGTTCAAGTTTGAATTTGGTTGTGGTTCGATGATTTTTGATATATTTATCCCTCTTGAACTTAGATTGATTGATTGTGTTGTTTTACGCTCCGTTCGAGAATTACTCAGTCATATAGAGACACCATATACCGGTGAAGGGCTTCAAATTAAAATTTTACTCGACACTCAGGGCCATTTAGCAGTGAGGGTTCTTAAACGTGCCAACGCGACACGGGGCCTCGATTTTTAAGATCTCATCCGAAGGACCAGCAACTTTTACTTACCAGAGCCGAACCCTTGGCGAAGGAACAGTTGCTATCATTTTTTTTATCGACTTAGGTCAGTCGCAGCCGTGATTCGAAAATATGAACCTTCAATCTCTTGAACTTCAAAAAAAAAACAACTCATTTTCCGCTCTCTTCATTTTGTAGGAAGGTATGTATAAAGTTGACACTGGATGTGCAGGTATTTTACCAGAAAAGACAGGTTAAGTTCGAGTTTGGTCCTGGTCTGATGATTTTTGACAGTTATCTCCCTTTAACTTAAAAAAATCTAAACATTCACAACTTCTTATCATTATTTCGGCTACAAATTTGAAATTTTGGGGTGGTGCGGGGGAATATGTGGCGTTAAGACACACTATTCTACAGATTTTGAATTTTGTTTCAATAAATTACACTTCCGGTACTAGAAGTAAGGGATGAACTATTACAGTCGTTATGTTAAAACTACAAGTAGATTTGAAATTTACATTTTCCAGACAATTTCGATTGGAACGAATGATAAACTTCTTAATTTCCTTATTCCCTTTGCATGCATAACAAGTTTGTGTCCTATACATATCAAGGCACGTAATTGGGGGGGGGGGGGTGTTGTGCTGACAATCGAATCTTTTTCAAACATAACATTTTTACTGTAAAAAATGTTCCTTGAAAGACTGATTGCCCTCCCCCTTTTTGTTGCATTCCATCCCTCCTACCACTTTTTGTTGCAATTTAGTCAAATCGTCCCATGGTAATAAATTATGGAACAAGATAACCCACACAACCCCCCCCCCCCCCCAAAAATGGGATTTTAAATTTTGGAAAACTTCGCTTGTCAAAGATTTTTTAAGTTGTCAAATAATTTGTTCTGCCCCTCCCCTTTCAAAAGCTATGATCTTACGGGAAAAAAAAGCTACAGTTGTTGACTAAAAATTGCGACCTTATTAGCAACTTACAAAACATATTTGAGAGATTTTGAATTATCGTTATTTCACAAAAATGAAACTGAGCTCTCCTTAGCAGTTTAAATCTCAGACATATTACTATAACATAGACTATACATAGAAATTATGATCTCACCATAGCAACAAGAAACGAGTTTCTGTGGTACGGAAGCGGGAACATATGCATTCTGAGAGTAAGAACATTTGGTCCATAGTGATTTGCCAGTTGTAAAAGAGTAGGGAATGCCATTTTACTCTCAGGACAGACAGGTCCCATAAAAGCATCCACATTAATTCTAGTCAGACCTTTCACATCTCCATAAATGTATCCAAGCTTCCGGTTCGGAATTGGAACCTGGCCATATATAAAGTGAAGCATTAAAGCTAAAAGAAAACACCTCTTCAGCGCCATTGTTAACACGTGTCGCATCTATTTGTTGTAACCTTCTCTGACCTAATTCTGCTTAACGATAAGCACTAGTATTGTGTCGCTTCTGAATAATTCAATCTGATTATCTCCAGATAACGACATTGAATTTTCGGCGATTACATTACAAGTGCACTAACTTATAAAATATAAAAGTGTTATAATCCTTTGTATGAACTTAATTTGATAGAACAATAGCAGAGCTTTTCAAATAAAAAAAATATTCACTGGTCAAGTGGACCAGTGATTTAGAGAAAATCACTTGTCCACACAAATATTCACTGGTCAATCAGCATACATATCGATACTAAATTAAAAAAAAAAACTGAGAAATTGTAATTCCAGTTACATTAGAGAATAATTCCGACTACGTGTCTTTTCGTGGTCTGTCACTGACGAGAGGTGAAAATTTTTTGAACCCAAAATGTGTTGTTTTACGTAAGATTCGAGAATATTTCACTCATATAGAGACGTCACCATATACCAGTGAAGGGCTTCAAACGTAGGCCTTTAATCGGCACTTAAGGCCATTGAGCAGTGAGCCTCGGGGATCTTTATCGTGCCAACCCTGCCATGGCACGGGGCCTCGTTTTTGAAGGTCTCATCCAAAGGACCCACAACTTTCACTTCAAAGTGCCGAGCCCTTGGCGAAGGAACAGTTGCTACCTATTTTCAGGTCACCTGAGTTTACTCAGGTGACCTATTGCTATCTGTTTTCGTCCGTCGGCGTGCGTCGTCCGTCAACATGTGAGCATTTTCAGCTTCTACTCTGGAACCACTGAACCAATTTCCACCAAATTTGGCATATAGCATCTATGGATACAGAGGAGTAAAAATTGTAAAATTCATGACCCTTGGGGCCTGAGGGGTGGGGCTAAAACTATCTAAATTGATGCAGTGTTTAAAAATCTTCTTCTTTACTCCTGGACATCAAGCAGTCAAACTGTTGGCATGATTGTAATAAGCATTAAGCTCTCTACCAAAATTGTGAAATTCATGGCCCCAGGGTCAGGGGTTCTGGTGCTAAGGTGGGGCTATATAGATCATATAGTGAAAGTGCATTATTTCTAGTTATGAAGAGAAAGAGTGCATCTTCCAAACTTGTGAATTTCATGGCCCCAGGGTCAGGGGTTCTACTGTTAGGGTGGGGCTCTACTGATAATATAGTGAAAATGCATTAATTCTTTGAAAATTACCTTCTCTGCTCCTGGGTATTATTTAAACTAACTAAGTGTATGGTTATGATGAGCAAGAGTGCCTCTTCCTAAATTGTGAATTTCATGGCCCCAGGGTCAGGGGTTCTGGTGTTAGGGCGGGGCTCTACTGATTATATAGTGAAAATGCATTAATTCTTCGAAAATCTTCTCTGCTCCTGGGTATTAAATAAAGTAACTAAGTACATAGTTATGATGAGCAAGAGTTCCTCTTCCAAAATTGTGAATCATGAATCTTCCAAAATCATGGCCCCAGGGTCAGGGGCTCTGGTGTTAGAGTGGGGCTCTATTGATTATATAGTGAAAATTCATTAATTCATTAAAATTCTCTGCTCCTGGGTATTATATAAACTAATCAAGAACATAGTTGTGGTGAGCATGGTTGCCTTTCTAGAAAATGTGAATTTCAAGGCCCCTGGGTCAGGGGTTATGGTGTAAGGGTGGGGCTTTTATGATTACATAGTAAAAATGCAATAATTCTTTGACAATCTTCTCTTTTTCTCTTGTGTATTAGGCCGATAAACTACGAGTATAGTAATGATGAGTAAGGGTGCCTCTTCCAAAATTGTGAAATTCATGGCCCCGGGGTCAGGGGTCCTGGTGTTAGGGCAGGGTTCAGTTGAATATGTAGTGAAAATGCAATATTTCTTTAAAAATCTTCTTCTTTGATCCGGGGTATTTGGCAAACAAACTGAATGCATTTATGATGAGTAAGGATGCCTCTTCCAAAATTGTGAATTTCATGGCCCCTGAGTAGGGATTCTGATGTTAGGGCGGGACTCTAATGATTACATTGTAAAAAATGCAATAATTCTTTGAAAGTCTTCTCCTTTTCTCCTGGGTATTAAGCTGATGAACTAAGAGTATGGTTATGATATGCAAGGGTACCTCTTCCAAAATTGTGAATTTTATGTCCCCTGGGTGAAGGTTCTGGTGTTAGGGCAGGGCTCTGGTGTTAGGACAGGGCTCATGGCAAAGTTGATACATGATACTCAGGTGATTTTTAAGGTCCGTGGGCCTCTTAACCCAAAATGAAACTCTGCTTGCCTACCTTAGTGTGTCCAACGTTTTTGCATGCGGAACAGGTCATTCCCACCTCCCATACTCCAACCACCTTAGGCTTTCTTGCTATGTTTTTTTTAAACTCGGGAAATTTTTTCTTCCGATTTTATTTTCAATCTAGATTGTTGTCTTTCCTCTGATATTTGATAGTCCAAGGCGCCGCCATTTTGTGAAAAACTAACTGTCTTAAAAGCGCTTGAGACAAGCAGATTCAAACGTTTTGACAATCTCACAAAAAACTTTAAATACACACGTTAAGAAGCTTAAATTCCAGAAAGGTTGATTTTTTTACTGGTCGCTAGTACCGATTACATGAAGAGAATTACTGGACTTCTGAAATGTATACTTAGGTTTTGCAAGTGAGACCGGTGGATTTTAAAAACTCTGCAATAGTCACCGTGTTTTAATAAAACATTTAAGTTGGAAATAAGAAAGTGGGAACCGAATGTAGTTGAGAGTCAAGGCAGTCAGCGGATCCAGTGCAAGGCCCTGGTCGGAAACCATGAAGACTGGGGCGAATAAATAAAAGCATTTTCGAATCATTTTCCTAACATCGGCACGATTTTTAATCAAATATCTATTGCCTAATTTGACCTAATATTAATGTACATAAATGTTGATAATTTTTCTTTTATGTCCAATAGTATTCGAATTTTATTTTCTCATGTAGAGGTACTTCTAGGTTACGTATAGAAATGAACGGTCCATGCGAGGCGTTTTCAGCCCTAACACGGTGGGTTTTTGATTGCAGAAGTGTCTACTATAACCTTTAGTTACAAGTTCATTCTTAAAACAACAAGAAGCCAGCACCCACCAAGTAGGCTGTCGCGTCCGGTAAATTAATTGAAAAAAGCGTATTCAAACTGCTGTATAAAGTTTAGAAGAAATTTTGGTAGCTTGAATATTTTTTTGATTCTTCATTTGTCTCAGAAACTGAGTAAATAGAAGGAGCCGAAGAAACATTGGGGTAACCTGAAGAAACAGGATATAATTGGTGAAACAAAGTAGGTGTCTTTAAAAAAAAAAAATCCGCATTGATAGCAGCAGGTGATAAATGTAGTTTATACCTGACGGAAATGTCATAATAACGCCTATTCTGCCTCTGTAGTATTTGTACCCATGATGGGTTATCGGAATAATGTTTTCGCACATTAAATTATATTTCATTAGGGCTACAGTCATTATTTAGAGGTCCGAAATTCAACTGTAAGCATAATTAGGAATAAGGGTCTTTCAAAATAAAAAAAAAAAGAAAGAAATTTATTAATAATCATCAGATATGAAAAAAAGGGATGCACCATGGGGCACATATACCGAAATCCCTGCATTTCTTTCCAATACGATGTTTTATGTTACATGTAACTTTCGTTACGGTACATGAAAACATGAAGGTTTTCGATCCCGTATAATTAGGGCTGATATTCGGCCTATTTCCCAACGTGTAAAGTGTACCTTTCCCTAAATATTTGAGTGTGATTTTCCCCATTGTGTGATTGCCTTAAATTCATTTAACCATAAGTCTCAAACGAGACTGTAGCTCTACTGGTTTGTACTTAAAACAAAGAAAGATAAAAGTAGCACTTTGGCTTGAAACTTTGCAACAATAAATAAAAATAATGATCCTTGGTTTAGTTTCTTTTTGTGGCAAAATTTATTGCAATCAGACTAAAACTGTAGGAGGAAAAGCCTTTGGAAAGGATTATACAGAAAATTCGATTATAGTAACAATGGCAATACCATTCAAAAATTCAACAACAACAACGTTCCGATTTTTGTATAAGGAAAACATTTTAAAGCTTAAATCATTTAAAAATAGACTTACTCCTCCTCCATTCTCCACTGATGTTCCATCTACTCTGTCCTTACATCCACTGCTATTTCTTTTGGTGTCGCTAAAATTTGTTATGACACCAGTATATGGTAGTGTTGTCGAAGTAATCAGTTAATATATAAAAAAAGAGATAGAGTTAACCGCATTTCTACTACTTTAGCTGACATGACTTGTTGATAAAGAGCTTTTCCTCTTTGCTGATTGTGAAAATATACTAGGTTAGTATCGAGCCTTTTAACAACTGCTTTTCAGCCTTGTAGTGGACATCGTTTTAATCTTTAAAGATAAAGAATTGAACGGTAATTCTTGCAAAATGCGTTTGTCTGCATAATGGTCATAATATGTCTCGCGTTTTTTTTCTACTAGGCACTTGTCCTCTTACGACAAGTGATGACACTGTTTTTTATCTTTGTAAAACACATCCTAGAATAATCTCCAATTCTTCGACATTTGTAAACCGTCACGGTAGCTCAGTTCCGTGATCGGAAGGTCTTGTGCTCGAATCACGGTCGCGACTGACATGAGTCGATAAAAAAATAGGTAGCAACTATTTCTTCGCCAAGCGCTCGGCACTTTGAAGTGAAAGTTGCGGTTTCTTCGGATGAGACCTTGAAAACCGAAGACCCGTGTCACGGTAGGCGTTGGCACGATAAAGAACCCTCACTGCTCAATGGCCCTGAGTGCCGACTAAAGGTCTAAATTTGAAGCCCGGTATATGGTGACGTCTCTATATGAGTGAAAAAGGGTTAGAAGGACGTAAAACAACATACAATCAATCATTCAATCGACATCGGTAGCATTTTGGTTAAACGCGAATCATAAAACGCTAGGGTGCACATTTCCATACATTCCGAACATAA